CCCACGTGTGCGTGCCATGCTCACCCCACGTGTGCGTGCCATGCTCACCCCACGTGTGCGTGCCATGCTCGCGTGTGCCAGGCTGGTGAACGTGACTCAATTTCTACTGAAATTTATGGTGACATTGTATTTCACCAACAGATCGCTACCTATTATTAGTTTTGATGGGAAAGATATTTCATCTTCTACCATGAGTGCATGCCAGCGAGCGCTGTTACCGTTTGCTAATGTCCCTAGCAGCTCGGTTTTTACTTATACTGCAAAAGCATCACCTGTAGCGCTGACTTCAAAGATATTAGTAGGAGAACTAAAGTCAGCTTCCACTAAAGCACTTTGCTTAGTCAGAGTCGTGGTAGAACCGTAGCGAGGAAGCCGTTTACTTCATAATCATTTACTAGGAGTTAGATAATAGGAACGCGCTCGTTATTATCTTCGCCGCGCTCAATTAGCGATTTTAATGTATGCTCCAAGCGTAAGACATTTTCTACGCAATCATTACACTAAATATATTAAATTATTGATCGATTTTATAATTATTTCCATCGTATGAGTCGTTATTCTTACAACACTTCTCTCTAACTTCACTTCTTGTCTGACTGTCTGCTACAAATCTTACTATCAAAATTTAACACACTCCTACTTATACTAGCGATCTGAAATTTTGCACACTTGTGTAAAGATGGAGACAATGCATGAATCAAATGTTAAAATAAATGCTTTTTAAAATTAAAAAAAAATTTGTAATATAAAAAAATCGAAAAAATATTTTGTCAGCTGCAAATCTTTTAACTGATATTTGACACACTTTTACCTCTCCAATTGATTTGAAATTTTGCACACTTGTGTGAAGTCGGAGGCAATGCATGAATCTATTGACAGAATAAATAATTTTGGAAAAAAATTATATATTAAAAAAATGAAAAATAAAAAACATTTGTAAGATTGGAGACACTGGATTCTTTGGAAGTGTTGTCTTTAAAAAGTAACTTTTAGACGTATATTATTATGACAGCGTTTCACCCGGCACATTATTAGTGGAATTGAAGTTTTGAGATTGATTTTTGCTAACACGTCAGGATTTAGATTGACTGCATGCCTTCGTTTTGGGTCTGGTTGACTTATTGAATGTCTCGCTAAATCTCTCATATTCTTTTCTGTCCAAACCAAAAATAATTAATTGAATTATTAAAAGTCGCGACAGTTCAGCACCACATAAATTAACTTGTAAAATATTTGGTCTTGACCGAGGTTTGAATCCGCTAGCAATTTGAAATGTACATGTACATGTGAAATGAAAGCACAAATTGTGAAATGAATGTATTCACCAAAATAGGTGAAAAGGGAGTTTGATAATACGAAAACATTGAATTATATTACCTGCAGATATTGATCAGAGTTTGTTTCATGAAAAACTAAACATGCTCTCAGGAAATTTATTTGGATATATTGTCATTGTTAAATGAATTAATACCTCGACTTAGGTACACAATCCCAGTCAGCAATAATGAGACATTCAACTTTACGTGACATTTTCCTTGCGATCGAAAAAATTCTTACGAGCTAAACATCACCGTTAGGAGGTTTGGTGTGTTTATTCAAAGCTTCATTCAAATCTGTTCAGTAGTTAAGAAGAAATTTCTTGGTCACTGCAAATTTCGGCCTGATTTCAAATTTCACGAATTAAGGTGAGATGGAAAAATTTCCATGAGCTAAAAGTCACCGCTAGGTCCTAATGAATACGTGTACCAAGTTTCATCGAGCCGCGTTCATTAGTTTGGGAGATATTTCTTGGTCATTGAATTTGGATATTAGCATCGAGTCCGGCCGTATATTTGTCCGATACGTGAAAATCATTGGCTTAGACCTGAAATCACTTGCATTTAGAAACTTCTGTCCGTTATATTCTTAATGCGCCATTAAAACTTGTTCGTCAACTGTGAAGAATCATCTAATGGTAAGATGAAGCAAATAATCCGATTATCCTTGACGCCGATATTTTGGAGCTTCTCCTGCTTCCATCCAGAAAGTTATGAACGATTCATCAAACGTGCCGTTTAATTAAGCATCGCAGCTTTTAATAATGCCACGTAATTATTAGCAATAAATAATGGTCTTGAGACAGCATGAAATTTTTAATTCTCCCAACTGAACACATCTAAAAGCTTATAAAAGACCGCTTCGTCCTCCCCAGACCACTTCAGTACTCAGGATGGCTTCTCACAATGGCCATCAGCGAGCGGGGCCGCTGTTGCTGTTAACGATAGTTACGCTGCTTGGAACGGCCGCAGACGCCGTGGTGTTTCAGACGATCATGATGAACGTGACCGTAATTCGTCCAGACCTAAACTTTACGGCATCAGCGGAATGTGAGTCAATATAATACGAAATATAATTTTTTATAAATAGTAAATATCAATAATATTAATTTACTTGAACTTCAGGGACGGTCTTATACTGAAATTTTAATATTGAGTCAAAAAGTAATTTTAGTATTGTAGTCCGCATTAACGAGGTTGTTATAGATAAATTGTCACTTGCATTCATACATGCCGGCGAAGAAGTTAATGTTTGGAATTCCTCGATAAGGCGGGTAAATATTTATTTTCGAATTTTTGATGAATATGCAACAGAAATTGAGACGCAAAATCATAAGAATCCGACCGTGGACTTGGAGTTTCTGATACAATATGGAATATTACAAGGTTTTAGCTTCAAGTGCTCTGAATGACAAATTTATTAACGCTTTAATTATTAATTGCCATTAGAAGGAGAATGAATGATATTTATGATCTAAATTAAATTTTTTCATTACGTGCCTTAGCCCTATTTGTGTGTGTTAGCGGGGTCGAAATACCCAGCCGACGATAATACGGCAAGCTAAACTTCCAACTGTGATAAATGATTATTTCAAACAATAATGAATTGCATATGGCTTGTGCAATACCACCGACATGACCGAACAAAATAAAATATTGGTTCAATTGAATGTTTTAAAAACTAAAAATATTTTTAAAGAAAATTGTTACTGGAATGCCAGAGGGCCAAAGTATTTAGTATCTTTAGTGCCATAGTATCTTTGCTCCACATTATTTAATTTAGAAGACAAATTATTTACTTTTTTCAATTTATTGGGTCTTAATTTTGTGATACTTCATAAACTAGGCTGGAGCATAAAATTGGAAATAAAGGCCACAAATAACCATATGAATAAAATAAACCAACTATCTTATAACTAACAATAATAGGTTACCAATATAAAATAATACCACAATAAAAGGTTACCACATAATCCCCGAAAGTGGGCCTATCATATGCTTCAAGATTTAGGAAATAATTTTTATCTATGGCTTCTAAAGTGTATTTCATTTATTGAACGATCACATTATCAAGAATAAAATATTAATATTAAATTACGTCCAGTTTTTGAATGACATAACATTGATTAAAGAAATGCCTCCCTAACAGTGTTGACCGCCGCTAAACACCACAAACAAAGATTGAATAACAAATCAATGATGCTCACATTTTCCCGGACTGCTTCCAATTATTACAATTAACTTGAGGCTACCCCAGGTGAGTGCAAGGCGAAGTGCTTCGTGCTGCCCAAGTGCAGCGCTGCGTCGTATGACGTTACGACGTCGGTGTGCAGCATGACGTACGACGCACCTTGCAACGTCACGACAACATTTGCTCCTGGCGTCATCAGCCTCTTCAAGTTCGGTGAGATCCTCCGTTGAAGAAAAATTATTTGTTTTCTGAAGGATCAATGATGGCGCTATTGCTGCTTTCGCAAGTCTTTTTGAAAGAATGTTAGCATTGTGTACTAGAACTTCATGCTTCTTTTTCGTATACTGACTGGTCCTTGTTTGCAGTTATTCGAGAAGCGCTCATCACCAAAGACAAAACCGTCAACGGATCTCCCGACAACCTGAAGAAGATGTGCGGTGCAGAAGGCGGGGTTCCGCTCATCATCAACACCAAGCAACTGCTTCGAGAAGCTAGGCAGCTCGTCGCTGGTAATATACTTTGGCCATATTTTCAACTTGATTCACGTGACAACCTGATGCAGGAATGTTATGGTTCATTCAAGGTTATATAAAGCTCTACTTTTAACATTGGTTGAATGGAATAATCATTTCTTCTTCGTCTTTCTAAGAACGACCATCAGTCCTTCTTAGGAGTTCATTCGTCAGAAACTATTATTAGCCGTAAATTAAGAACATATAATAAATACATTCCTGTTTTGATTCAGATCTGTTTGATTCACATTTAATAGGTTTAAACCAAAATTTAGTTAGCTAGGGCTGAGTTAAAATATGAGTTAGCTCGGGCTGATCAGAGAAATCAGCTTCTCGAAGTTCCCAATGTTCAGTGAATGAAAATGAACTTGTACCTAATTTTCTTAGGAATCTTTTGCAGATGATGGAATATTTACATCCCTTGTAGTTACAACGGTCTGGCCAACAGTGAAATGAAATAAATTGGCACTAATTTCTTATGGCTTACTTGCAGACCATGGAATATGGCTCATGTGGGGTGCAAGTTGGGCCATGGCCTGGCTGAGCGCTCACCGCACTCCTAACAACGGCCTTTACCACTGGCCCGACAACTCCCCGGTGATTGGCTGCGTCTTCACTGCAAACGACTTCTTCTCTGCTTCATTCTCCGGTGAAATGGGAGCATCCGTGCTCGGCGACGATGGAAAAATTGGCACGTTATCAGAACAACCGCTCTTCATTAAGGCTCTGCCCGTACTGTGCGCAAGGACTCTCTGAAAAATCTCCGAAGTAAATATTCATTGTGTTTGCTATAGTCTATTTCTCACGTACGTATCAACTTTTACTAGCCTTGCCTCTTTCTCCGCATAAGGAATGATTTTTTATTTCTTAAACGGAATAAATTATTTCTGGTATCTGGCTCATTATTTTACATTCAACACGTTGAGTGTGGCACGGGGTTGCCAGATGGCCTAAAAACGGCTAAGTTCGATCACAAAAATGCCTCTAATTCAATATTTACGAGTAAACTTATCGGGTCTGGCGTAAAATTTCAATTTTCATTTTTCGTACTTTTTAAAATTTAATTAGGGAGTACCGACATTAAAAATTTTTGTCGGACAACGCCATTCAAGTTTAAACTAAATCGCAGACTTTGTCCGGAAAAAAGACCCTGCAATCGACCGGTGGATCGTGCCGCACTCAACGTGTCAATGTAAATTTATCGTAGAATCAGGACATCCAGAAACAGACACCCATCTGGTTCTAACAGTCAAAATCGTACTCATATGATTAGTTAAAATGCGCTAAACGTCACTGAGACCTACTGCATGTCATTATTTCTCCAAAGAAATGACTTTTTTTATCTTTTAGTTACTTAATTTTCTTTATTGCGGATATTATATTAATAATGCAAATTCACCCAGACAACGATGACTATTGTCCTTGTCTTTTGTTGAAAATTCAGGAAACATGTAAATATTTTCCAAATTTAATATAGCGATGGCTCATTTGCCCTGCAACACAAAACTATGTCCAACCTGATCAGTTTCTTTTTATAATGAAATTAACTTTTGTAATTTTTTTATCCTTACAGGGGATCGATGTGCCATCGTGAATGAGAATAATTTCTATGGCGTTTTGTTTCTTATCAATTTTATATTCAGTTGAAGCAGTGCGAATTTAAATTAAAAATTATTGTCAGATAGTAATCACTATAAATCCCACTGGGGGACCGGAGCAGCTACCACTACATTTCTATACCGCTACATGTACAGTGACTTTTAGGAGCAGCTACAGTATTAGGAAACTAATCAATAAATGGGTTTTCTTTGACCCCGAGCACTTGGCCAATGATCGCAAATAAAGGATGAATAAAAACTGATAAATTAAGAACTATAATAATAAAAGATTGATATATACAAGAAAACAAATTACAAAACTACAAACTATAAACCGTTTGCAGTCACTGTTAGCACATTCTGGCCGCCAACAGCCCTGACTAGTGGAAGTTTTGGGCACCGCTGACTGTACTGGCGAAAAAAATTGAAGAGAGAAAGACTTGGAACCTGTAGTTGAAAGTTCTTGCGTCGACCTTCATTGCAATTGACGAGAGCATAATAAATCAAGTATAGTGGACATAAAATAATAACGCTATTATTAGTAGATGGTTTAAATTTTAATGCTCGAGGTGTTAATTCAGAAAGCTGTTGTTGCATAGCCTCTTCTTCACTGTTCAAAAATTTCGTAGGTCATTGATTCTTTGACTGAAGCAGGATTTCAATTTCATTTCCAAACTTTCTTAATATTGAATGGTAGAATTAGTTTTGAGCTTCTACTATATGCACATCGGTTGAGCACGTTAACTTAAATACCGAGGCATAACGCGTATAAAATAAAAATATTTTATAATTTGTTTGCTTTGATGTAGACATTGAATGCGTTAATTGTATAAAACCGTTGCATTCAGGATTTTCCCTGTTTCAATATTTGTTTATCCATGAGCTTTGCCGTATCATAGATTTTTCTTAAAGCCGAATGCACAGAAATAATTCTAACATGAGATTTCAAAGATAATTTTATTAAAATGGTCGCAATGTGTCTGGACAAATTATTCTTTCATAGGCTGTTTTATTGACCGATTCCGATCAATAAGATGTTCATCGGTTCCATTCGAATTGATAAAATATGATTAACTATAAGCGACTTTTTCTATCCTTCATGTTGTATGCTTCTTAACCTATGAAATCGCAGTAACGACGTCAGTTGGTAGACCTAAGAGTTGGAAAGATACGAAAGATAAATTATTATTTATGGTAACCTAATTTTTAAGGTGTGATGTACTTTAGGTTAAGGATTTGGCTTGTCATTTTCAGTTTTTAATAACATTAGCTGTGACCTCTAGCCGCAGTGTGTTCCATTTGTCACTGTACCGGTTGATCTTGCCGTGGAGGTGCGTTCCTTGGAAGCTTTGTGATTATTTGTTATGGTTTATGATTGGTAAATATTAGGGCATAAGTCGTGTTATCTTATATGGATTATTTTTATGTGTTAAGTTAATTTTGTTTATTGATGTGATATTCATTCTTTTAGCTAAGTATTTCAAAAACATTCTTTTGATTTTTCCAGGCAGGCCTCAAGTTTTAAAGTTGTCGATTTTGGACTTGAATCTTGTGGATCAAATTGGAAGTTGATTGAACGCACGATCAGGGATGTGTTCTTACGGCTGAGTTTGATCGAGTGTAAGGGTTGTATGATTGTCGTTTGTGTTCGTGTTTATTCTTCATTAATTATATTCACATTAAACTGTTAATTCATTGAAAAATCCTTGGTTTAGAATAGCGTTTGATTGAAGAACGAACACGTGTCTTGCAATGGTGAAAGCTAGTTCGTTAATAGATTGGAAGCTCCCCAACATCGTTATTGTTGTTATGACATTAATTTCTTTTAGAACCGCATTAAATTATAATGAATTTCGTGAGAGGGATGATTATCTCTTGAGATACTGACATTTATGTTTAGAACTCCGTAGACTTTTAGATCAATGATCTCCACATGACAAGATTATTTCATACATCGATAATTTGTTTGCAAATTCAGTGTCATGTGGGCACTAATGTAGAATTTATGAATTCACATAATTTGAAACATTTAGTTAATTTTGTATTCTTGATATTCAGCAAAAGAATTCTTTTGTATTCAAAATAATTAAAGGCACGTCGGGAAAAAAATATAAAATATTGTCGTGAATGAAGGTCGGAGCAGCAAAAGAAATTTATATCATTGGCATAAACCAGTGCAATATTCTGCAATTAAATAATTTCAGTTCACTATATTCTCAGCGCACCACCAAAATGCGTTCGTTTCTTGCGAAAAGCTACTAAGTATTGCGATAACAATATTAATTCGATAATTTATTCGAATAATTCGAAAGACTTGGAACCTGTAGTTGAAAGTTCTTGCGTCGACCTTCATTGCAATTGACGTCCGGTCCCCAAAATAATCCATATAAGATAACACGACTTATGCCCTAATATTTACCAAAAAAATGTCTCGCCTAAACTCTCTCTCACCCAGAACTGAATTATCGCAAAAACTTACAATCTAAAACCTTTAGCTCGTTTCCGTCCCATTATCTATCATAAAAAGCGAGACTGAAAATAGCCAAAATTCAAGATCTGAATAGGCGACAGATGCATCAATGGAAGTAAAATAACTGGCATGAAACGTTGTTATATCTTGCAATTACATACTTGTCGCCGCTATATTTTCAACGAGCATTAATATGTGTTCGTCAACTGTAATTAGTAATCTAATGGCACAATGAAGATAATCCCTAATAACATGAGAATTTAATTTTTTTATATGCATTGCATCTACGTAGGTTGTCCGACTAGAATTTTCTAACTTCTTCATCGATTACATTGATACCCAATTTTTCAACGATTTGAGATGAATGAGCAAAATTATTGATTGATTTCCACATGAAACTATTGTCACATAATTTCAGTTCTCTGATATAATTCAGTTAAAAATATTGGAACTCAATGCCAACCACACGTCTTTCTCTGGTACTTCTAATTTTCTAATGTAACTTGTGTTGAATTTTTATGGAGCAAATGAGTGTCTTGGGCTGGAGGAATGCAGCAGGCCGAGGTCCAAAGAAACATCAGGCCTGCGTTTAGCAGACAAGCTTTGCTCGAACCTGAGATCGAGAGTCGAATAGGATTGAACGAGGGATTGAATAGTGTACGGTTGTTGTAATGAATGGAATTTAATTTCTCGTTGCTGTTGTAGTAAAAAATGGGGGGCCACCCCCGGGTTTTACCCCGCGTCTTTCGCGTATTGATACTTGTATCTTACAACTTTATACTCACAACCC